GATGGATGGATGGATGGATGGATAGATAGATAGATAGATAGATAGATAGATAGATAGATAGATAGATAGATAGATAGATAGATAGATAGATTTTTTTTTTCTGAAGGAAAGTAATATGGTCCTGATTACGCATGGTGAGGTGGCACCTATTGCCCTCTAAAGCAATGGTCGGTCCCCAACCCCACAGGTACTGCGGGCCGAACAGATGAATAGAATTTAGAATTTTAAAAAAATGACAAAAATTATTGTCCCCATTACATCTGTCTATGAAGGATTCTTGACACAGGTCAAGATGCCAATGGTACTACTCCAACTCCAAGCAGTTCCACTTTATTGATCTCAGATAGGAAAAGAAAGGAAAGGGGAAAGAGAAGTTCATCCATCCAGCTTATCCTCCCGAGGGTCGCGGGCGTGATGGAGGCTATCGCAGCTATCCCTGGGCAGTAGATGGGGTACATCCTGAACGGATTGTCAGCCAATCAGGGCACACGTAGATGAACAGCCATTCACAATAAAGAAGCAAATAAACAGAATCCAATGAGGCCCAACGTGTCGGGTGTGGTTCCACAACGGCTGCATATCTGAAGAGTCGTGACAACTTTTGTTGGAGATTGGTGCATTAGAAATAAAATTGGCTTGACTTCAGTTCAAGAAACATCCCTCTCCACAGCTTCCCCTCTCGTCAACAAATTTCTTGTATCATTAACATACTTTGTGACTAAAGATGGTTTTGACTCACTTTTGATAAGACATTGTCCTATCGTTCTCGATGCTGATACGAAGTGTCCAGGTCAAGATTTTACAATAAACATAAACAAAAAGCATGGTGACTGAGTCATGACTATATCCACTTTAGTTGGCATGTTCTGCCTGTGTTGCATTGGCTTACTTTGGGTACTTCGGCTTTCTCCCACATTCCAGGGACATGCATATTAGGTTCAGTGAAAGCACTAAATTGTTTCTAGTTGTGAAAGCGAGTGTACATGATTATTTGTCTAGATGTGTGCTGCGATTGGTTGGCAACTAGTCCAGGGTGTCCCCCCTCCTCTCGCTCACAGTCAGCTGGGATAGGATCTTAATGAGAATAAGCGGTGTAGAAAATGGACAGATGAATAAAAATAAACAGTTGAAGATGTTTGCACAACCACAGAAGAAGTTGTGAAGATCTGAATTATGATTAGATTTGTGAAGATATGAGATTTTTATTTGACTCCTACAGCGATGACATGCCGTTAAAAGGAGCATTGATTTAACAAGCCAAACAAATGCTGATGAGGCCTGATAATCAATGGCCTCATTGATGACAGTGTGCGGTGGCCCTGGGCTCTGAGCGTTTGGACAGCCTCACTGTGAATAATGAATGAGGAGAGCCCAGATTGTCTCTTTTTACACTCAGCTGGCATTTCAAAGGGACCTTTGGCACCAAATCCAACACGTACCCGATACCTCATTGTTTTATAGCAAATTTTAATTTGGAAATATTTTGTACACTCTGGACATAGGAGGAAGGGCAGAGTTGTTGATTTTGGGTCCAAACACGGTCTGTCTCTCTGTGTTAGCCGTGGCTCACTGGTGATCGGAACTGGCTGATGATCAAGCTTCAGAGCATTGAGTATAAACGTTGACCTGATCAACAATGGCCCCAAAAAAGGTGTTGGTGTACAAATCTTCAATCAGTTTGTCCTTGGGCATTAAATATGTGGACTCTCTAGCAGGTACCCAAGTGTCTACACGCTTAAAAAAAACATTGGTTGGGTTCGCTGTGTTTTGTCATTTTACTGGCTTCCTCACACCTGTGCTGAATGTCAACTCTCGTCTTCTTATGTACTCGCGGGAGATGGGGAATGATGAGAGGAACAAAAGCGCCACAACAAAAAAGGCCCCAGACAATGCAGCTATCGTCAGTGAATCTGGCGCTGCTGTCTCTTTGCCCTCCTTTTCATCGCTCCCTTTGTGCCCCCTCCCACCCAGCCGCCGTCACACATTCACTCCTTCATAGAAGATCACTTAGCTCTGCCCTTGAATCCTCCTCCATAAGTGCACGGACTGAGGTGCGCTGTGAAAAGGCTTAAGGAAATTCAATGTATGCTTTTGCGCTACAGTGGCTGCAAAGTCATGACGATGAGCATTTGCAAGCGACACCTTGCCCCATTAATTCTCAACCGTTTTGAATAAAAGTCCATTGTCCAACAAATGCGGAACTCAGAGTTCTGATTACAGTGTATATTAGGGTGGTCCATTTTGGAAAAGTTTGTCGGATTCGTCGGGCCGGGTCGGAAATCTTGTCGATACTATGACACAAGGATGTGTGCAAAATTTTATTCCGATCGGATAATTTTATCCCGTCCCGCAGAGCGACCAAAGTTTCCCCTATGGAAAGAATGTTACGGGGCTGAATGGTAGTACGGTTTCTCCCGTACAGTAAGGATTTTGTTTTGCTCAGTTCACACTTGCAATAATTCAAAGACGGAAGACAGGAACGCATGTATTGCAAAAAAGGCAACCGTGGTGATCCTGCAACACTGGTGAGATTGTTGGTCCATGTTAACTGGTCCATCTATCTATCTGTCCATCTGTCTATAATGGCCATCAACACTAGTGACACTGTTAGACCGCAAAAAAAAACGAAATCCGCCGTGCGTGCCATCCCATGCCTACTTCGCGCACGGGTGCAACGCCCGGTGTCGCTCCACGACCTGCAGAAGGTGCTGTCGCTGTTCCTCGTCGCGCGTAAAGGCGCCGCAGAACGCGCTGATGAGGGCGACGCCCCTCTCCGCAAA